GCGGCGGGAACCAGAACCCCATGCTGGATCGCGAGCAGCCGCGAGGGTCCCAACTTTGTCCGCTCAGAGTCATAGACGAAAAGTATGTGCGCGGCGACACCGTAAGGGGCAGCCCAAAGGCGTCACCTGAGGGTCCCTAAGCGCCCAATGGGGGCCCCAGGTCCCCCACACCGGTGGGGCAGCGGGGAAACGGGCAGTTGCCCTGACCCCCGCGCCCGTCCTTAAAACATACTGGGTGCCCAGCGCCCGGTCCACTCTACTCTACTCTACTCAGGGCAAGACAGGATTGCGACATGCACGCAAGGGGGTGTGAGGGTTGGCGTGCGGCCACGGGTGAAAAGGTGGGGCCCTGCCTGCTCTATTCAGGAGTGGTGAGCGTGATCGGCGCCTGCTGACACAGACGGGGCCTGGTCCCACCAGCAGCCCATGCGGTATGACTGGAGGCAATGCCTTGTGAGCAGGCATTGCCTCCAGTCATACCGCAAGGGCCGTGCCGCGCTTGCTCGAAGGTGGCCATGCTTCAATGCTGGTGCTGGATTCACGCCCTGTACATCTCTGTGCTGTGGACAGCCGCGCGTGCTGGCGCAATACGACGTGCTGTATCAGTAGTTCACAACACGCACGCGAGCGGCTCCAGCAGCTGCGAGGTCGAGGGGCACCCATGTGAGTCGACTGGAAAGCTGAACGCCACAGTAGCAACCGGTCTGAAAATGCAACGAAGCACAGCCTCCGGGCCGCCGCCCAGCCACCTGTTGGGTAGCTAAGCACTGGCCCAAATGCCTTCGCTAGTGGCTGCACTGGGCCACGGGCTGAACTTGAAGTGGGTGACCCACTGGTGTATGAACGGGTGTAGTCCTTGACATAGCTTTGCAATTCCGCCTTGAGCCCCAGCACAGGCTTCGCCACCCCCAGCAGGACTCATGGGCGCCGCAGTCGACGCGCCCGAAACCGGCCCCGGCACCCGCTTGGCCCACGCTGGACGGACGCCAATGGGCCCTATCAAGGAGGCCCTTGTGTGTCATGCACTGTTGCACTCGTGCACAAGTGTAACAGATGCGGCAGCACCAGAGCATCCAGCGGTGCACGGCCAGGGTGCGAATGCCAGGCTTGTCATAGGCTGCTCACTGTGCCTCAAGGGCAGCGTGGGTTATCAGGTGCCTGCGCTGCCGCTCCATGAAATTTGATACATGTAATCTACTTGTGTAACCTGATACCGGTACCTCATGGCTTTCATTTGCTCTTTTGAAGGCACATTTGGCACATGACCTGGGAAGCTGCCGGTTTGTCTTTTGTTGGGCCTCTGAATGGGGCGAGGCATTTACTAGGGAACAGGCGTGTGTTCCATTGAGTGCTCGTATGTGAGTCAAACGGCAGACGCGCCGCTGCCTGCCACCCTGAAGACTGCACAAACCGCTTGATCCACGGCCCAGGCCTTTGACGCCCAGTTGTAGCTCCTCTTGGTACAGAGGAAGAGTTCCACGGATCCGAGTTTTCCACAGCCGTCGGCACTATGGCGGGCACACAGCTGATCACCAGCGTGCTGCTGCTGCTTGCCACAGCAATCGGGGCGCGCTCCGCCCTGCTGGTGCGACCGGAGCAGGACTGCATCAACCCCTCAGTCAGCAAAGTGAACGACTTCAACTTCTTTCCCAACGAGTATCGCTCGGTCATCTCGGCGCCCGCCCCAGTGGCCCCTGGCGCGACGGTGAGCCCGCAGCCAAGCATCATGCACGTATATAGGCCCATTGGCTTGCATGATTGTCGTGTCAGGCCCGCGGACCTTTAGGCAGCAGTATGCAAAGCCCCGGCCGCCTCGGATCGGGGTGTGTCTGCCGCCTCGGCCAGCGCGGCCAACAGCATTCATGATTTCCCCGCGACGGATTAGCGCGGGAGGCCACGCGCAACAGCCATGCACGCCGTGAGGGCCCATCCACAGCGCAAACAGGGGCAGCTGGCAGCTTGAGCAGCGTTGCAGCCAGTCGGGCCGCCCCTGAGCGCGCGAGGGTGCCCGTGCCGCGCATGCATCGTACGGGCGCAGATCGTGGACGCCACCGACTTTGACATCAAGTACTATGACACGTACAAGGTGCGCGGTGGCCTCACGCAGCACATGGCAGACGTCGCGCTAGAACCGGCAACCGCAGCCGGCACCTTCACACGTGCGATGTGGCCCCCGGACGGATCCCTGGCAGCGGAGGGAACCCAGCGCCCGCCCTCACGAGACTCGTGCGCAGCCCCGACGAGCGTTATGCGCCCGCGCTGCCCATCGGCCCTGCGGCGCAGGTTGTGAATGTCAAGCGCTTCGGCAAGTCGTATGTGCTGTACCAGTGCGGCACGCCCGACCCCTCCACGCTGCCGGCCGGCGCGGTGGAGGGCGTGACGCCCGGCATGCGGTCGTTTGAGATACCCCTCTTCTCGGTGGCGGTCACAGACACGACGGTCAACGGCTTCCTGGTACGCGGCGGTGGCTCGCAATCCCGCCCTCTCCCGCGCAGCCGCGAGCCGAGCCGCGCCGCGGCCGCGGCCGCGCGTGCTTAGCCACCGCTGCAGCCGGCGCTACTAGCCTCCTTCGCCCGGCACGAACGATGTGCAGTGCTGCGCTGGCCTTTTGACAGTGCTGGCCTGTGCTGTGCTGCGCCCTCGCCTGCACGCACACCCGCACCTCGCGCTGCCCGTGCCCGCGGCTGTTGTCCCACCGACACTCTTACCCGGGCCCCTCCATACAAACAACCATGATGCGCCCCCGCAGTCTGAGCTGAACCTCATCGACCGCGTGGCCCTGGCCAGCCCCTACTCCGTGGGCGACTGCTTCCAGCGCCTGGTGGACACCAAGAGCCAGGACGGTGAGCGGGCGCGGCCAGGACACCGGGCGCTCGCACGGATGACGTCATCTCTAGTGACGTGCACAGGCACGGGTGTCTCGCGGCAGTGCCGATGGCGGCTGCGCCAGCAGGACGCTAGCAGGCCGAGCAGGGGGAGAACCAGCGAATGAAACGGCGTATTGCCCAAAGCGATGGAGGCGGTTGGCGTGACAATTTAGGTCGGGGACCAGTGCGCAGCGCAGCGTACCCCACGCATCGGGCCGCCCGAGCGCAACGCGTGGGCCGCGAGCGAAGCCCGACAGCCCCGCCAGGCCCTTTCCCGGCCCCGGGACGCCCGTTGCGTCGAGCGCCCCCGTGATGCGAAGTGATGCGACGTGACGTGGCGCGCGCAGGCTGCAAGCTGGTGACGCCTGACCCCTACTTCAATGCGAGCGACCCCAACGGAGAGTCTGGCTTCAAGGACGCCAACACCACCATGTACGACGGCGCGGACGCCGTGTTTGTGGGCTTCAGCGGGGACGCGGCCAAGGACGTCCTCTTCACGTGAGAGCGGCGGCGCGGGAGGCATGGGAGGGCGCAAGGGGCGCGGGAGCGTGTGGGGGCGCGGGGGCTGCAGGAGGGGGGGATTGCAGGCGATGCGGGCGGCGCGAGGGGCCTGTGGCGCACGTCGGGCAGGGGGACCCCCGCCGAGGGAAGCCAAGGAGCGCCCTGGCCGTGCGCAGGCTGGACAAACGCAAACACCGATTCTGGCACAGTCTGTGCGGGCTGCTCTCTGGGCAAACGCCCGCTTGAGCGGATCCTCCCCCTCCCTGCGCC